ATCTTCAGATGCAAACTGTAATTACAAATACAATCCAGCTTGAAGAAGGCTGTAAGTCATCACAAGCAGCAGCCAAAGCTGGAAGCCAAAGCAATGCTGGCTGAGCCTGTGAGAGGGGACATGAGGGTCCCATGACTGCAGTAAGCCCAGAGGACATCTCAACAAGACATTTCAATGCACCAAGGGCCTGTTTTCTGCCACCAGGACTGGCACTCCACTGCATGCTACTGTCCCCAGAGGGGGGACATGCTGCCCAGGGACAGAAAGAGTCCCCTCCTCTGCTGGAACAGGGCATTACCATTAAGGCACCTGCAGCCAGACACCCTGGTTACCCCTGCAGTGGCTATGCCAGCCCCAGCCGGGGACACGCTCCAAGTCTTCAGCACTGTGAAGGAGCACTGCTGAGCAGCGCCCTGTACACCTGTAGAACATCCTTGCAGGGTTTGACTGAGTTGGGAAGCACTCCTGCAATGCTAACTGGGGATGATGAACAGGTCCCCACAGCTAGGCAGGCAGTGCCGGGCTCCCATCCTGCCGCATAAGCCTCAGACAGCAGGCAGCCATCATCCACGCTCTGGAAGCACTACCAGCAAGTTATTTCTTCAAGGCATGAATCTGCATCCTACCCAGTATTGATCCAGGCGGTGAAGGGATGCATCCTGCCTGGCGCTGCCTGCTCCCGTGCAGGCAGAGGGAGGTGCTGATGCGGGGGATGCCAGGCCCCGCAGATTCCTGCTGACACCTGCCAGCATCCAGTGCTTAATTATTAATTGCACTTCCAGTAACAATTGTTGCTTGTGCCGACGGAGTTGGACGAGACATCACAAGCAATTAGCAGAACCCTCCGCTGGTGTTCGGTCGGTACCTGCTTAATGCTCCACTCACGTCCTCCTCAGGTTGCTGCAGAGGGAAGGAGGAACCCATTTACATCTCCCGTGTTCGTAGCCTGCAGGGAATCCTGAACTCCAGCCTGTGCGTGGTGGCCAAGGTGTGACAGCAATGCTGTCACCAACCACAGGCCAGCCCTGCCGCGGCGCTGGCATTGTCCCCTCCTGCAGCTGTGTGGCAGATGTGGAGCAGGACACGTGGGGGGCATCAGCTGCTGAGCACCAGTGTGCACTGATGGCCACCCTTGGAGGCACTGGGCTTTTCAGCAAGGTCTGCCAGGCAGGCAAAGCCAAGAGCAGGAGCAGTGGAAGCTGCGGTGGAGGTGGCAGCCCCAAGCCTGGTCCTGAGCAGAACTATCTCAGGGCCAAGTGTTACTGCCCCAGCTCAGGTGTTTGATCAAATTAATTATTATCATAACCAAAGTGACTGGTCAGAGGAATCCAAACGGGCTTTTACTAGTCACTGAGACCGTCTCATAGCGAGAGCAATTTTGGGAGCTTATTTTCCACTCCATTGAGTGCCATGTTACTGCAAATGAATATATTCCTTGGTTGGTGTGATGGAAAATACAGCTGTAAATGCTTTCTGCTTCATTTGGGTAAAGAGCTCTAGATAGGACTAAATATAAAGAGAATTTAAATGCTCTACTTCATTAAAAAAGTTGTTTCCCATTCTCTTTCTTCCTGAAAACACAGGGCTGCTAGTGGAGAGAGCAAAAGAAGGATTTAAATTTGCATCAGTGTCGTGCTAATGCAGCCAATCGCTCCCCACCCATGACTGATGGTAGATGTCTGCCAGCAGCTTACTCTCTGAGAGAGGCTGGAAGCTGAAAGCAGATGGTGGGATGCCCAGCACTGGAGCCAGGAGCATGGCATGTCTGTATTTACCTCTGTATCAGCATACATAATCCCCTTCAGCAGACAGGACACATTAGCAACGGCATGAAGCCCCCGAGTCTTTCGGGGGCCCACCTAGAGGTCCCTAGAGACACGTGCCACCATTTCACCTGGCCTTGACGATGGGCTTAAGAGATCCTTACCTGCTGCACAGCCATCAGTGGTGATATAGAGAGAGGCTTGAGGACCTGGAAGGTGGCCCAACTGCCCTCTAAATGATCTGTGTCCATCCACCCGTCTGCATCCGGGAATCAATTACTAGCTCATCTTCTTCTGCCACAGACTAGAGACACTCATACCAGCTAATGGGCATGCAGCATTTCACAGTGACCTCTGGAATGAAGTGCTAGCTCATCCCACAGCCATAAAGAACTCTTCTGGCTTGTCACTGCTGGTTTACCCTCTCCAGGAGGGTAATAATCCCCCCCCCCAGCCAGTGTCTCATTTCCTGATGCAGTTCCCAGAAGGGAGACAACGATCCATATTGATTTGTTAGTGGTTGGAATCATGTCCACACTGATATCAGCTCCGAGACATCTTTGAAAGGAGGAGTACAGCCAGGTTGGGTTGCCACATCCTCCTGGGGCTCCTTCTTAACGTTTAGGAGTCCCAACCTCCTCTGTGTAGCACCAGGTGCTGCTGCACAGCTTCTGCCCTTCCATGTGTTCAGGAGAAGTGGTATCCCTTTCCAAGCTCTGACAGGACCTGGCAACCAAAGTCACTCAGATAAATCCAGTATCATGCAAAATCTAACTGATTTCCTCTCTGGAAGTAAAGGCCCATTGCGGTCCAGCAAGACACCTCAACAAGTCTTCAGAGTCTTTAGCCTTACAAATCCCTTAGGAGCAGGATGTCAGGTTGTACTCGGCTCTTACTTGATACCAAGAAACTGAGGGGAAGATTTCATTTCTGCTAAATCCAGTTATAACCCAGGAAGCAATACGTTCTAGGCTCATGAGGCTTATAGATAAACAGATCATCTCGGCAGGGCTGCGCAGAGTGGGGTGTGATGAGTGATAGGCAGTGGGCTTACACCTGACTGGAGGATAAATAGAGTTCACTCGACTTATAAAATAACCACCTACTGCAATTTTGCTACATTTTAAATTGCAACTTTTCTCCCCACAAGGATGTAAGTGGAATTGATAGGAGTAAGTCCCGTATAACATATAAGCTTCATAGAAAGAACTGAAACTAATTCAGCCTTCCATTTGAGCAGAGGAGACAAGAGCAAAGTGACATCCATGGCTTTGTCCCTCACCTCCAGCCCAGGGCTCTGGCCAACCAGCTGCTTTGTAAAGGCTGGGCAAACCAGAGGGGCCTGGATCAGACTACACCATGGATACTAAGGATGAGCCATAGGAGTCTCATTTCAAAGACTTCCCTTCCGTTTCTCCTCCTCTGAGCACAGAGTTTTGTGAAGTTCATCGTTCAGATTGCCAGCAGAACTTAGGCACTTTACGAACGAGTTAAATGGCATCGTCTCAATCTCCAAGGCGTGGGAACAACCCAGATGTGTGAGGGCAAGACAAGGGAACCTCAGACAGAGGTGCTGATCCCCATGGAGAGTCCTCCACCAGAGAGTGGGTGCCAAAGAGGTGTCCCAGGCCACACCTCCACACGGTACTATGCCTTCTCCCCTTTCTTCACACCACCCTACTGGAGAAGCTGGAGGAGCCCTGGGGTGGCCGGGGAAGAGTGCTCTGATCAGGACTAGCACAATGACTGGGTGCTGACAGAACTCCCCAGGGAGCCAGCACAGGACTCCCACACCCAGGACATTACCCAGCTGGGATCACACCACCCACTATGACACAACCTTCCCCTTTATTACTTAAAAGGCTGGCAGCAGGTGTGAGCAACTGTCGCTCAAAATCTGGATGAAGGACAATGTAATATAATTATTACCTTAATGGCATTTCAAGACTATCACCCCCAGCTGGATGTAGAACTTCTGTTGAGTGAGTTTAATAAGCATATAATCTAACATAATATTCACATGGAAGGACAGGGTGGCTTTAGGATGGATTATGGAAGCTTTGCAGCTTTGCGTAGCTTTACATAGGATATTTCACATGCAACAGACAAAGCAGGATGAGTCCATAATAGCTGAAAACCCAGACAGAGGCAGCAGCCTTTAATGCAACCTCCCATCTTTCGTTAAGTAGAAGATTACAAGCTTACCTCACACACAAAGACCATGCAGCACTGTGTCAGTGCTCCAGTTGCCCCACCATGGCCTCCTAACGGAGGGGCACCCTACCCTCATGGTCACTGGCTACTTTCCAGGTGGCCAGCTGAGGCCTGATGAAGGCATCCCACCAGTGCATCATTCTTCACCAGCCTGCAATGGGCTCCAGGCCTGCCCGGGTAAAGCCCCACAGGGAGCAGATCCAACCTCCTTGGCAACGCTCCCCCATCCTTGTTCACACTCGGCAGAAGCTGGGCAGGAGTGGGTCCCAGAGGGACCTGGGCTGGGTTAACTGTGCGCAGGTGAGCCTAGCTCTATGCGCATCAGCTCTGAATGGCATAGTAAGTACATATTCCCCTTCACTTGGTGCCTTCCCCAGTCCAGGACCCTTCACAGGCTCTGACTGAATGCAGAAGGCATGAAGCAACCGAAGCAACCAGGCACCTCAAAGCTTGTGCTTCCCCCACAGTGTGAATTACTGCAAAGGGAGCTGTGGATAAGCAGTCACCAGAGCTTTTCCGCTAGTCCTGCTGGTTAATGCACTCACAGGGACGTAAATCAAAGCAAAGGGAAGGTGGTGACTGCACAACAGCTCAGAGGATATACCGCAATTCTAACCCCTGAAACTCCCTACTAGAAGGCACAAGGAATGTTAAGGGGGGCGAGGAGAGTGTTCAGGTTTAGAGACCTTCCTAAGCTTATCAGATACCCCAAATTATTTTTTATGAGGGATTAAAAACCTGTCAAGAGCTCTGCAGGAGAAAGAGGTGCATCTCAAATTCCAGCACAGTTATCCCATGCAGAACGTGCCCGCCAGCAACCAAGAACCCAGACTGCCCTCCGCTCTGGCCAGCCAGGCCTTAGGTAATGTCCTATATAAAGCACTTGCATCCGCACACTGCCCAGTGAGCATCTCAGAAATACTGCCTTGCTGCCTAATATATGCATTGGGTTTTGCTCAGCTTTTGAACCATCGGGTCACCTTGTTGTTAATTAATGAATCACTAAAATTATGTTTTGGGGCTACTAAGGTTTATTGGGTAGAAAATTATTTCAAATACAGAGAGCAAGCAGTAAAGATTGGAAATATGTTTTCAAGTATCAAGCTAATTGCTGCAGGGAATCCCAGTGGGATCCATTTGGAGCCCTGGTTTTTTATTTCGCTCCTCTGTTAATGACCCAGCCGAGGTTTGTAAAACAGCAAATGCACAACTGCGTGCTGATGGTGTGACATCCTGCATGCCAGCAGCTGGCAAGAGGTGGGATGTGCTATGCCTTCAATGGTGACATAGTGGTGGCAGTGGTGGTGGCCAGAGTGGTTCTCAGCCACATGCCCTGTCGCAGCAATGGTGACCATGTTGGGTCCAGCTCTGGTCTCAGCTGTAGGACTGCTCACCATCGTGCTGCTCTTTGTAGCAGTTCACTGAGCCAGATGAGAAACACATCCCACCACCACCCTCCTCCCGACACAGGTGTTACTGGAGATGAACACTAAGAGAGGGCTCGGCTGCTTCCCAGGACAGCTTTGTGCAGGTCCCACAGCCACAGCAGTGCTGGCAACTGCGCTTGAGGTTTCCATGGGTCCAGAAGCAAGACTACATAGATGCAGCTTGAAAGTGAGACTGGCCTAAGGCCAGACCTGTGACCAAGGGAATTGGCTTTTACATGTCATTGACCCTAAAGTACCTGTTTGTCTGAGAAAAGATGTCCTGCCTCGGGGTGACATCCTGCAGTCCTCCAGTCATCCCAGCAGGAAGAACCACATCCTCATTTCCAGTAAGGTTTCAATTTCCCTCAGGCAGGATCACTTGATTAAGGAACACAAGGAAAAATACAGTAACTTCCCAGCCCAGGCTCACCTGCAATCAAATCAGAAATCACCAAGAGGAGCCATCATCTTGCAAAGCATCTCATGAGCATGCTGCAAAGGTAGAGGTAAAGAGCAAGGTTCTCCTTGGCTCCATGCCATGACACCTTGCTCCAAACATCGACAGCAAAGCCCCTGCTGACCTGCCCCAGGCATGCATGCCACACAGTGCTGCCCGGGGAGACCCTCATGCATGCATGAGTGCTGGATGACAGCCCAAGTGAGCAGAAGTGTTTTGAGTGGCACAGATGGGACTTTTCTTCTTTCCTTTAGTTTTTTTTTACCTTGTGGTGCCCTCTGATCACTGCACAGTGATAACCCAGACAGGTGACTGACCTGGACAAAGTTTCATTCACAAAAACCATCCTTACTCCCCACTCAACTGGGGGGAAAGGGACACACACACACGGACACATTAAGACATCTTATTTACTACATCCAGCACTTCCTTGCTGTATTTTATTTTGGCTCCTGGAGGAAGCATCTCCCCCTGCAAGTGCCCCTCTTTCCAGTCCCTTTAAGGCACACAAGGTTTCAACAGAAGCCAGGCATCAGGATCCTATCACCGGTCTCCGCTCAGAGGGTCTGGATGTCAGCAGGGCTGTGAAGGAACGCAGAGGTCTGCTCGTCCATTGCCCAGGGACATCCACAAACTGAGCCTGGTACAACCCCATGCCAGGCAGGGCAGAAACTGGGATCTGCTGATGCTCTCTTCCCCCAGTGAAACAGTTGCCCTGGGAGTGTGACAGCAGGCAGCAGTGCTGGGGACAAGATGCTCCATCTCCCACCGAGTCAGCCAGCTCAGAGAAATGAAAACTGTGCCACGTTGTCCAAACCCACCCACCTTCTACAATTTCTCCTTCCAGAAAATGCCACCACCAACAACAAACATTCACAGCCAAAAGCAACCCTTTTTTTTTCTTCTTTTTTTTCCTAAAGAAGCCATATGCAGTGAAGGAGCCCACCTTGTCCAGCAACTGTGGCCAGGCTGGAGCTCTGGCCATGTCTGGTCATTCCTGACTTAATCCCTCGTATAACTGGAAGACAAAACCAAATCATTTAATCATCGCTGGATTTTCTTTCACCTACTACTCCCATGGCTGCCTCTCCTGCCTGGACTGCAGGCTTTTTGAGGTAGGAGCTCGCTCTCCCTAAGACAGAGAGCCTCCCTCAGTTCATCAGCACGTTTCCGGGGCCACGTATACTTGAAAGCAAAGCCTGGTTTCAAGACATCTTCATCTGATGCAGCCATTTCAGGTCCATGCCCAGCAGGCATCACCTCTTAGGCTCAGTACAATGCAATTAGTGCAGGGGTACAAAGCTTTCCTTTAACCATGCCCCGAACATGGAGCTGGTAGTTATGGGCTCCCAGAGACTCTAGTTCAAACAGCTTGTCTCTCCACCTTGGCAGCAGGCAGGCAGGCACGTCTGCTCCCTGCGCTGCTACAGAAACAACACGCTTTGAAATGCAGATCCTGCCCCGCTTTGTTCCCTGCATCTTTGTAGGTGCCGGATTTACAACACCCGCGCATCCTGATCACTGGCCTTACACCAAGGCTTGCTGTACCGGCCATGAACGCCAAGCTCACGTTAGTGTTCAGGACCACGCAAGCCCCAGGAGCCTTTTACCTCCCTTGGCTTCTCTTGACTGATGCTCAGGCAGGGAGAAACATGGTGATGCAAAGCTCAGGGTCAGACACAGCCAGCCCGATCACAGGATGCTTTTAAGATCAAGTCCTTGGTTCAGAAAGCTGCTCAGAGAAGCAGTTATTCACATGTCTGTCCTGGTGCCAGCAAGGGGGAGATCACGGATGAGGGCAAATTACTGCTCATGCAACAGCAGCTGAAGACATCAGTCCCCCTCTGGGCATGGGCAACCCCTATGCAATAGGGGGCTGCATCCAGAGAGCTTCAGATGGGGATGGATTTGGGATCCCCATGATGCTGAGGCTCACCTCCCCTCAGTGCAGGTGTCTGCCCCAGCCTGTCTCCCCTGTCCTCCATCAACAAGCTCAAGCTGCCAAGGGGAACATGGCTTGCAGTGTGCTGGCAGACACCCCATCCGTTTCAATTACATGCAGTCCAATTCCCATCATGAGGAGGCAAGCCAGGAGGAAATGCCACTGAAGTCAGCAGAGTCATGCTGCATAGTCTGGAGTGAGCGGGAGGAGATGCTAAGCCTGGCCTACACTCATCATCCGGGCTTCTTACACCTGCCCCATGCTGGCTCAATCCTCATTTAATTTATGACATCCATTCCCAAACTGGCAGGATGTGTTTACGATTAACAAGAGGGCTGTGGTGAGATGTGTCCCTTTTTCTTTAAAGCCACACATCAGACCCCATACCATCCTCTGCTCCCTGCAATAGAAAGCCTGCTCTGTAACCAAGTGCCCAGCTGCCAGCCTAAATGCCAAACCACGCAGCCTTGACCCCAGCAAACACCACCCACTAAAACACATAGCTCCAGTTTACACCGTTCCCAGGCCAGAGCCTTAATGATTCATGGCTTTGAGCCCTCAGCCCAGCTTAGCTCACTCACACAGGACGCACCGCAGAAGTAGGTTCCAGCACTGATATCCTCTAGGGTGCACTGAACATACCCCAGTCCTTTGGCAGCCAGCAGCCAAGAGAATGGCTGCTATGGGACTGTTCCTGCTGGTCCAGCTCTCAGAGTAGAGGAACAAGTCCCCTTTTTGCTGCCTGCCCTCTCCCCAGGCTTAGGACAGCTCAGAAGGGCAGCTGAGTACTTCCAGGAGCTGCCCAGGATCTCCATTCCAGTGCTTCTGTTAGACCAAAGGGTCTGGAGACATGGCTATACCCTGGCTGCAGGACCAGCAAGTCCAAAAGCCACTACAGTAACGTGGCATGGGAAGCAAACAGGGAAGATTAGCAGCTCTGCAAATTTCCCAGGGCCTTCTAACAGCAGAGGAATTACTTCAGGAAATGGTAAGATCTGAGGAAGCCTCCAGGCACAAGAAGGAAGCCAAATAAAGCCCTGTGCTCCCTGTTGGCTGACATGTTGTACTCAGATGTACTCCCAGCTGTGGCCATTCTCCATCACCTCGGAGAGACAGGACCACCACCAAACCCAGGAGCCAAATTAGTCATCAGTGGAGTTGAGGATTTCCTGCTGGACCCTGAGGAGGAAAGCAGAAGCCCTGAGGCATGGGATTAATGTAAGCTAAAGAGAGCACGAACAAAGATCAATCCAGTCTCACTTCAACACATCAGATACCCAAGGACTCCCTCCTCTGGAAAGACTCTGAATGAATAATCCTTCCCATTAATATTGAGATCTATCTTGAAACAGCGGCTGTCCCTTCCCACCCACCATCCCTTTTGAAGGCCACTCCAGAATGATCTCTTTCAAGCCTCAGAAATTGCTTTTAAAATCCCATCTAAATTTATTTATGACCAGCTTACCACATAGGGATGCATCTCTCTCTCTACCAGAGTCCTTGCAAAAGCCGCTGGTATTAACAAGTAGATGTCTTTTTAAACCCCACAGAGGGTTAAATCTAATTCCACTTCCTATTCCAGGAAGTCTGGGATGCAGCCAAAGTATTTGCTCTGTCCTGCGGTGGGGACCCATTGTAAGACCCCCAGCCCTTTCCTTTCTCCATTCCCTTGGGAGCAGTAAGGACAGAGAGTGCCTGAACTTCCTAAAGCCTGGCCCAATGCCCCAGAAGATGGGGCATTGGTATATATATGTCAATATATATGTATGGAATATAGTCTCTGTGGCTGGAATGCCATGAATTTTTATTTCACCTCCACAGAGGCTATTCTGGGTCTGTGTGCCACGGAGACCAGCCCAGCAGCAAACAGAACCTGGCCCACCCCTTGTGTAGCAGTTGATACCAAGCAAGGAGAAATGTACCAACCCAGACATCTAAGGTAGGAGGGGGTCCCTGTTGTCTGCAGGACTACATGGCAACCTTTCTGGCCTGTGCTGCAGGAGCTTAGGCCTTTCTTCAAACTCCTTGCACTTTCTAAGTGATTTCTGCCTTCCACTTCATAGAATCACAGAATAGTTAGGGTTGGAAAGGACCTTAAAATCATCAAGTTCTAACCCCCCTGCCATGGGCAGGGACACCTCACACTAAACCATCTCACCCAAGGCCTCATCCAACCTGGCCTTGAACACTGCCAGGGATGGAGCATTCACAACCTCCCTGGGCAACCCATTCCAGTGCCTCACCACCCTAACAGGAAAGAATTTCCTCCTTATATCCAATCTAAACTTCCCCTGTTTAAGTTTTAACACATTATCCCTTGTCCTATTGCTATAGTCCCAGTTCCTCTCTGGCATCTATAGTTTCCCACCTGTAGCTCAACTAGATTATGATGTTCTCTTTCAGAGCTACAGAAACAAACATGACTATTTCACACCAGGTAGGACCATTATGCCTCTGAGAACTTTTGGAAACTTAAATAAAGAGTCAGAGGCTATCAAGAAATTTGCAGCTGTGAGAGCCAGCAGTGGAGGGAAATGCAGGAGTAGATGCTGAGGGGCTGAAAACCAATGTCAAGCCTCTGAGACCGCCTGGAGACAGACTGAGTACTGGGGCTGGCTTGGGACCTGGCCTCCAAAAGAACACCGCAGACAAACAGCACACCTGGATCATCTTTTATAAGGCCAAGGGAATTCGGAGGGTCCTTCCACCCCAGTAAATGTTTGGGATTTAGATGCTCAGCGGCACGGTTGGAACAATTTCCTTGATCTTTTATTACCCTGGTAAATAATTTATTGGGACAGCCATTTTAAAAAATCCCATAAAAGACCTATAAAACATATTTATCACACAAAAAAACATGCTCCCTGGCTCCAACCAAGACGCTGAAAACTTGTTTGTATACTTCACTGCACATAAACTAACCAATGCCTTGTGACAGCTTTAAGCTTTCTAACAGCTCTCTCCCTGCTGCTTTTTATTTCCATTTTTCTCTCTGTAACTTCAGAAGGAAAAAAAGAAGAACCCATCACAACAGGAGAGGTTTCTGCTTTGGGGCAGATATTGACAATCGGAGCTGCCCCCCACTTCTCATGGCACCTGGTAACTTTAGCAAATGATGCTTCTTCTGCCTGAAAAACACAACTCAAAGCTGTGGCTAGCTGTAGCATGTTGGGACATTGGGATTGGCAGCCATACACAGAGGGCTGGAACTCAAATGATCTTATGGTCCTTTCCAAACCAAACCATCCTCTGATTCTATGTGTGACTGAGGTGCTTGTGGTACAGGCATCAAGCCACCTCTTTGTACCTCAGTTTCCCTCTTGAGATCAGGAGCACCCATAAAGTACTTTCTTCTGCTGATAGCAGAGGGCAGGATCCTTTTTTCAGCCAACACTCGACTAAATGAATAATCCAAACAAAGGGCTGAGGAATGCATTTTCACACCCAAAACACGCAGGAGCCACCATAGCTTTTCATCACTTCCCTTGGACACCAGAGGATGCAGTGAGGTGAAGCCTGGCCAGCAGGACAAGACATCAGCCTGCGTTGAAGTACAAAACCAGAACCCAAAGCATATTTATAGTTGCAAGCACGATGCCTGGTGCCAGGCAGTCACACAGCCTCCCAAAGCAGACCAACCCACATCCCCCCGCACTGTGCCTGCAAACCCAGACCTCATCAGGGACAGCTCTGCCCAGCAAAATATCAACACACACACCAAGATGACCTGGCATGGGGAAACCAAACTTCACACCTGGGGATGGGCTGAGGTGTGCTTCTCCTCTTCCCAGGAGTAGGGGGCCATGTGCGAGCAGCAGTGAGGCAGGATTGAGCACGGAGCCCCTCTGCTGTGATGCAGACCCAATCTTCCAGCCATGCAGGGAAGCAATCAGGAGCGAGAGCACAGTCCTCCCACACTGGGTCAGCAGAGCTGGCCACCAGAAGGGCTGCCAAAGCACACAGACACCCAGGCATGCACAAAGCCTGCTCCAGATGGCATCTGTCAGAGGGAGCCAGGAGCTGTCTGGGTCAGTGTGCTCCCCATGCATGATTTGACTCTTCCCCATCCCCAGATATCTCCAAAATCCCTCATTCTGGTCCTGGTTCCAACACAGTGGTGATGTAATCCACTAAAATGCCTTTTCAGGACACAACACTCCCACTGTGCTCCCCCCTTCATTCAGCTTCCCCTCTGCCCATCTAAAGCCCACATGAAGCACTTGAGCTACAGCTGCTTTCATGCCCACGTGAACCAAAATGTTCTTGTCTGCACTGGCTGGTTCTCCGTAATGTCTGCTCTCTGCCTCCACCACTTGCTCTACAGAGAGATCACAAGTTCAGAGCAAGCTCAAGCAGCCAGCATGGCCATATTATGAAGAACAAGCTATGAAAAGGTGACCAGTGGTAAAAGTAAGGTGGGGCTGGGGTCTCTGGATGCAGGGCATCACATTTGCCCCGCTTCAGAGCAACCATGGCTATGGGTACATTAACAGGGCACGTGAGAGCTCATCTGAGGCAGTGAATGTAGTACAGCTCCATCATAAGCCAGTCTCCCAGGCAGGTTAAAGCCCAGCAAAGCATCGAGTCTTCTGTGTTCATGGAGGCAGGGATGGAGAATGTAGATGCAGAGGGCAGGGAGAGCCTTTGCTTATCAGGTCCATAAGTGGAGGCAGACAGCAGTCACCCAGAAGCTGGGATTTCAGGCTCAGCTTTGGGGCTGGGGCCTCTCCCAGCTTCACCAGGTCTCCCAGCTCCTTTGGCTGCCGCTTCCAAACTGATGAGCACGTTTGGGGTGAACTCCGTTTGCAGATTTAAAAATCAAACCCTGGCACAGGAAATTAAAAGATAATGCAAGGAATTACTTAAAAAAAAATTAATCTTTATTACTCTCCACTCCCAAGCTGCTAATAAAAAAATGTGTTTCTCATGCAGTCTCTCAAACAGGTTATAAAGCAGAGGAAGAGAAGAAAGCAGATGCTTTAAAAAACCATCTTTCACCCCTCCGCCCTGCCTGCCTGCCATAGCCATTCATCTATACCCATGTGTCAGCTCCCAGCAGCTTCCAACTCAGTCAGCCCTTTTTACCCTGCTAGATAATTATTCCCCATTTCACTCTGGTCCCCCCTGTCCTCCGTGTTTTACACCTCCAGTTGATCAGCAACCCCAATCCAGAGAGCAGCCTAGAAGCTGGTTTAATAGCACACCTTCCTTGCCCCAGGTATCTCTGAGCACTGTATAAACCAGGATGAATTATAGCTCATTACAGAAAGAGCAGGCATTTGGGAAGTAAACAAAGCAGCTATTATAGAAGCCAGCAATAGCATCACAACCCCAGACCAGGGTTGACACATGGAGGAAACCATGCCTGAAAGAGAGGTCAAGGATCCTTGGCAGCTCTCAGAAAGCAGTGTAAGAGACTGAGACGCAGGTGGCAATTGCACAGATTTATTCAGAAGATGCTTCTGTCTAGGAATGTGCTCAAAAAAGAATCATGGTCCTTGGCTCTAGCTGGTGCTGGAGCTGATGGAGCCAGAAATGGGACTACATACCACTTTTTGTCTTGGACCTACCAAGAGCCATCACAATTAGAAACCTAGCACATGAGATGAAGAAGCAAAAGCTATCAAACCCACCAGCTGTGTCCACGCTCCAGTAGAAGAAACAATCATGAGCACAGATCCATCTCCCACTAGCCGTCTGGCCATCTCAGGAGTGTGTCTGCCCTGGGCATGCTCAGGACACCCATCACCACTGCTCCTGCCAAAGAGGTGTCCCTGGGTCTGCTGGAAACACAGGCATGCTTGGAAGGAGCAGAGTACTTCACAGAAGGAGAAACCGAGAGACCAAGAGCTACTGCATCACACTACCAGCCCAGCACGAAAGACGGCTCTCTTAGCTACTCCATGCCCAGCGCTGCGGCTGGGATGAAGGAGCCAAGCAGGCAACAGCAGTCCCCTGAACATGCTCTGATGGCCACTACTGCAGGAGCAGCCTTAGAAGACCCATAAAATCCAACCTTTTTATCCAGAGATGAGCAGTACAGGCACAAAACCCACCCCCTTCCCTCTCCCATGCAGAATGCAGGGGTTTTATCCCAGGAAAAGCAGCTCCACACCTACTCCTCATTGGGGATATAAGGAGTATTTGGCCTCTTCTGACTCCACAAAAGAGAAACGCAGCCTGGAAATAAAGCACTGGCAAGGAACAGGTGCTGGGGGTGGAGGAAGAAGAAGGGCAGAAACACAAGCAGGCTCAAACACAAGGAAGAAACCCCCAGGGACAGAACGTGCCTGCTGGCACTGCTGGCTGGTACACCTGCGGCTCCCCAGCCAGGGGCAGAAGCAGAGTGGGGATGCCAGAGTAGTGAGGCAGGAGGTGGCTTTCCGAGGGGAGGCTGACTGTGATTGATGGCACCGCACTGTGTTCTCACTGATGTAGAAAATTAGAGAGCAATCGCTTCAGATATTGGCCCATGTGAGACACTTGTTGTGTCCATCTCCTGTACACAGGTGCCTCTCTTGGGACCTCTCCCTCCAGCTTGTAGGCTCATCATTCAGAGTGCTGAACTGGGAAAAGTAACATTGTGTTATGGGCTTTTTCTTTTTCCCCCAACTACTTGATTGTATTATTCTTGGGAATACGTAAGGTGCTGATTTCCTCAGTCAGCCACTCGAGGGGAAGTTTGTTTCATTCTTCTTGGCTAGGAAAAATTAACTCTTCATATTTTACTTTCTTTCCTAGCCCAAGGCAGAGAACAGGCTCTACAAAAGAAAAAGACAGAAGCCTTTTTTTTTTTCAGGTGGAAACAGCTCCCTAAAACCCAGCAAGTCATGCTCCACCCTGGGGCAGATCTGATTGTTGGTAACCACATCGAGCAATGCTACTCTGCTAATGTAGCCTTTGGCAGAATGGTCCCCTCTTGGCTTTCCATCCCTTTTGCCATTTAAACAGTTCCTGGTTTTCCTTCCTGTTTTTGTGTCTGCTTTTGTCCCTCCATTGCCTCTCTGTGAGATGCCAAAAGAGCTTTGAAGTGGTCTTTAAGTGGTTTTAAAAAAATCTACGTATGCTTCTATATGAAATGATGAAGCCAGTGGTCTAGATCAGCACAGGCTGGTGGATCTTCAGGAGATGTGCTTCAGAGTGCTGGGAGGACTGCAGCTGGTGGCATGGTTGTCCTTTTAACAGAGGACCAAGCAGGGTTGTATATGTCTTTTTGTGAGGAGCTCCCCAGTTCAGGAGCCTGGACATTCCTGCTGGGTGATGAGCTTCGAAGCAGGGAAATTCTGAAGCCATTCTTTTGAAGCCCAAGAGCAAAAAAAGCAGCCACAGGTGAGGAGACTACTGGGCCCTTGCCTTAAAACAATTCTATCCCTCAGTAGTGGGCAATCAGTTTTTCCTCAGCCAGGCACAGCATACGAGCTCATGTCCCAGTGTTTCCAAGCACGACAGAGGAACCTCTCTGACTGCTGCCAACACAATGCCAAACAAGCCCTACACTCCTACTGCAACCGGTAACCTCTCTTCAAACTCTCCAAGAGCTCCCAGGCAACTACACCAGTCTGGGGAGCAGCACAGCTCTTCCACTTGTCTGGCATGGCTAGAAGAGACTGACAAAACAGGTTAATGTGGGGACTCCCACCTCCAGAAAGGGAAATAGTTCAGTTTCCATCACAACTCCAAGCTCCACCATTGGTTTCTCCTAACAGCTCTCCAGCTTGGGGCAATTGAGCTTGCTCCCATATCAAAAGGGCAAATTGCTTTTTTTTCCTCTTGGGTATCTCAAGAATGGCTTCAAAATTTCCCTGCTTTGAAGCTCATCACCCAACAGGAATGTCCAGGTTCCTGAACTGGGGAGCTCCTCACAAAAATACAAACACAACCTTGGTTTGTCCTCTGTTAAAAGGACAACTATGTCACCAGCTGCAGTCCTGCCAGCACTCTGAGCATCTCCTGGGTTAACGCACTGAGGGCTGACAATAACCAGCAAACATCAGATCCAAGCCAAAGCCTGGAGCACTCAAGAAATCCCCACGGGATGACTTGAAACAAAGTGTCCCTCTCCCTTCCTCCCTCCCACATCCACCAGAGACTGACCCCAGAGCCCACTACCAGTTTTCCTAGCGGTGGTTAATCATCTGCCCCTCTGGAAGTCCCTTCTCAGGGTGCAGAACAGTCCCCACACATTCCACCTTCTCCATCTGCTGATGGCTTCCTTCCACCCAGGCTGAGCCTCCCCCAACCTGAACTAATGGTAAGAAATTAGCATTAAAATGATAGCTTGCTATTAGTAGTGCCTCAGCTTCCTATCACACTCCAGGAACAGGGAATGACAGGCTGTGATTTCCCTGCCGTGATGCAGGGGAGAGGGAGTGATGGCAGCCAGAAGCACTGAAGTTACTCATGGAAAGTTTTAGGCTCATCTCTCCTATCCCAGCAGCCCCTTCCATTCCCCATCCCCATCGTGCTCATCCACTACACAGGCAATCCTACAAACAGATGGCACCTGGGCAGGAAAGCAGACAAATTGGCTCCCACCTGCAGGAGCACTAAGCTTTCAAAGCAGACAAAGCACTCACTCGCCAAGAGCCCTGCAGTGTGGAGATGCCAGAGGAATCTGCCATCACCCGCCTTCCTCCCTCCTCACTGCTCAATGACTCCTGCTGCATCCTTGCCTGCTTGCAGGCATACAGCTGGCTCCTCCCAGGAGTCAGTGGCAAGAGGAGAAGGTTGTCCTGAATCAAGTGCCTAGAAGAGGTAATTCAGGCCGAGCATCAACGGAGCGATACTTTTTTCATGTCAGCACAAAGCTTTGGCTTGGAGGGCTTGCAGCTAGCCTGAAGGAAGAGGGTTTTCTTGGGTCCCCACTGAACATCCATCTGTTTGTCATAGAAACAGCAAGCTCAAGCTGTTTCTTCTCTCCTCCTGCCAAAGCAGGGGTCTGCCCTCCCAGAAAATTCCCCTCCTTGACCAGATAGCTGTGGCAAGAACATGGAAAGTCTCATTTCATTTTCTGCCTGCCTGCCTGCCTGCTCCTCTGAGCCCACCTGGCTGAAAGCTTCTTAGTACATCAAGGCCAGGGAAGCAGCTCGCATACCAGACTGCAGAAAACAGAGAGGCAGGAGGAGATGAGCAAATCCATGGGTGTCGATGCAGGTTGTCATCTCCCTCTGGGTACCTGAGTGACCCTGCAGAGTTGTAGCAACTGAGGATTTCATATATGGTGCATTCATCCTTGCAGAGCCCCATAGTGCTGGTCATCTGCACCAGGGAAAGGGGACACAGTGAGGACAAGACATGTAGGAGCACTTGAGTGCTTTCAGCACGTATTACATGGAGTCATACACAACACTGCTGAAAACATCCATTCAAAGCTACACTTTTAAGCTGCTTGGGTAAAGTCAATCTCTTCCACTCCATCCTTACCTCTCAAAAAGTGCCTGGACCAACAAGTGAAGGCAAGTGTCCTTGAACTCCAGCCTTCCAATTGCCTTGTAATAGGCTTACAGATGGGATGAAAAAGGGAGAAGGAAGAGGATGGTAGGAAAAAGCAGGGTAAAACAGTTACCCCTTTCCCAGCATTTCTATTAGCAGCTGAGATGTGGGAGCAAGGAGAGGATTTATCTGATGATGGATAGCCCGTACATTTGTATCTTCACTGAGCCATAGACCCAGTTCGGCAGACTCCTGACAGATGCAGATGGCAAAGCCATTTTTAATAAGGTGGAGAAAAAAGGGAAAAAGAAAAAAAAAACAAAACAAACCAAAACAAAGACAGGCTCCAGCTGGAAAAGATGGAAGACAGAATCAGGGCTAATAGAGAACCAGAATCTTGGATGCAATAAAGAAGCCCACCCCCTACCTCTGTTTTCTACCATGGCCTGGCAGCAGCAGGGTCATTCTCTCTCCTCTGTAATCAGGTGGAAAATGAAAGCTGCACCCAGAACAGCACTATAGCTTTGCTGAAGTGGTCCCTGAGGACAAAAAGGTGGCAGAGAGGCTGCTGGAACTCTTTTGGGCACAAGCACTCTTCTACAAGATTAGCTCCCATTTCAGAGGAGGTGAGAGACAGCCTGGGGAGAACATTAACATGTTTGCCCCTCAGACCCTGATTTAGTTCAGGCCTGGCCCCCAGAGAGCACAGATGGCCCCCAGGACTCTGAAGAGGCATCCCTGGCAGACTTCCTGTTGGTACAAGACTGCCAGCATGGCAAAGGACCATGCTGTGCAATGCTCCCATGATGGCAAACAGCAATCCCAATGACCCTGATTTATCTCAGGCAGTGACAAGGGCTTTCCCTCTGTCCCAGGCCACCGCACAGCAAACAGACACCAGTGACACAGTGCTGCTTATCAGCACAGCAAGAAAAGTGATGATCAGCACAGTATACATCGCCCTTTGAGCAGCACGTATGCATGCCCTGCTTGTTACTAGAAGCCAGCGATTCTTGATGTAAGCCCAGGGGAAGGGAAAGGAAGAAGTAACCTCATGAAGGGAAAGATTTCACCTCAACCAGTGACATTCTGCTGTTGTCACCGCAAGCCATAACATCACCCTCTCGATGTGAAATCTAAGTTGACAGTGATACAGGAGAGTAGACAGGGCAGCAGTCTCTGCACAAAGCAAGAACCAGTAGCTCATCACCAGGTTACTGAGCAAGTAGATCTTCCTTTTCTAGAGCCATGGAATAATCTTTCCTTGAAGTTATTCCTCCTTCTGGGCAACTCTGTGGAGGATTTCATTTTGGTCTCTGTTGTATCCTCTTCCATTTCTGAAATAAAGAAACTAAAACCTCCTTTGCAGAACAACACATGCATCCATAAGCTGGAGTCACCAAAGCCTGAAGAGTTTCTAGTGCCAAAGTCTGGGTGCTTTCAGACTCATCGGAGGTGCATTAAGCACCTTTGAGCCCTGCTGCCTGTGGCATTTCCAGCTGACATTCCCTCCCCTTGTCCCAGGAACAGGCAAGGACAGGGCTGGGCAGTGAGGTGTGGCGAAGGCTACTGCTGAGACCTGGTAAAAATGTCATCCAGCAACATATGCTTCAAAAAAGATTCATTCCCAAGCAGCCAGGCTCCATAATAAAAGTGTCAGAACAGGCGAGTTGCCTCCCCCCAACCTCATTGCCTCCAGATTTATCCTGTCTCCGGTCTCTCTCCCCCAGTAAGCCAGCACGTGCCTTTCCTTTCAATGGGCTGGCACTGAAACTCAGCCAGCTGAGGTTGTAAGGGAAAAATTAAAAAAAGCCAGGTGAAGGGACTGGGGGGAGGGGGGTGTCAGAACCTGCTTGGAGCCAGGTTTTCCTCTAATTTTGGCTGCTCTCACTTCTGAAAGGGAGGAGGGGGGAAGCAAGAAGTACCTTAACAGGAGAATGCTCCCAAACCAGAAGCCACCTGATTTTGTGTCCCAAACCAATGCTGTAGCTGCTAGGCTGTATCATCATTCTCAGGATGCTCAAATCACATTCCTGATAAAACCCATCCCAGAAGACATGAACATCCCTGAGCCTGTCACCCTCCCAGCCTCTTCTAAGGGCTGTGCATGTGGAGGGTACCCAGAGAGCAAGGAGAGAGGATGAAGTCCCCTGTGAGTCATAGTCTTGGGGAGTGCTGAGCACTGGCTTATCTTCACAGAGATATGATGCTAATGCAGTATTGCAGGCAGCCCCAAAGACAGAAATGGGGGGCACAGCAGGAGGAGAGAGAAGAGAGGACGAGAGAGGTTAATGTTAACGGTTCTTTGCAAAGAGCTAAAAATACCCAGAATAGCCAGGGTTTCTGTTGTGTCTGGGGTTTTTTTCTCTTTTCTTCCCCTCATCCCCCCAAAGGAATATGCCACATAAATTAGAATTATTTCCTTCCAACCTGCAAGACAGGACCAGGCAAAGCATCCTTCAGCTGTGAGTGAAAGAGACAGATCCTGCTTCTGTCGGGAGCACACCAGCCCCACGGAGGTGAGGTGGAGGATGGCAGATACCAACTGCAGGGACCCTGCTGGCTAATCCTGGTAACCAGGAGAGACAGGTCTGTCCCAGGCTCCCAGCTGGGGTGCAGGGTGTGTTTCTCCAATACAAGAGACATCAATAGCAGAAGTGAATCCTGGATATCTTAACTGTCCTGAGGGGATGCAGGCTAAGAGCAGATGCTTGCAAAAGTGGGCTGTGGAACAGCTTTCCATGGAGCAGAGAAAAACTCCACTACTGCTAAGGCAGTCCTGTTACATTTGCAAAACTTGTTGCAGGAGGCAGAGCCCATGATACCTTCTGGACCTACGGACCTTATCATCAGGGACACCTTTCTCTGGCCCATGCTAGGATACCCATTCAGGTACATGGCTTGCAACCTAGCACCCCCTTCCTCCATTCAGCAGGGAGAGAACCAGTTCACTTCTAGCAGTGAGTGCAGGTCCATAGGCAGGAGAAAAACCAAAGCCACCCCCACCATGCTATAAAAGCGCTGCTTCAGTGTGTCACAGCTGTTTCTCACATCTGGATGAGACAGCACTTAAAGTGTTGCAGCTGGCACCAGCTCCTCAGCATCTCCTAATCCTGTTAATGCCAGGCAGGGGAGAGGTCTGGCAGTTGAGGTGAAGGGGCACTTCATCTCCATCAGGTTCTCCTCCGCTAATGAAAATGTTTCGCTAGTGTGTCCTTAGGAAGGTTTCCTACAGCTCCAGCCCCTGTGTGATTGAAGGCTAATCTTGGCTCCTGTTGGCTGAATGGCAGCCCATGAGGAAGGTGATGTATTGTGTTTCACTTCAACTCGCCATTTAATGGTGCTGGAAAAAGAAGAAAAAGCACCAGATGTTTCTAGATTGTAAGTGATCTCTTCCTGTAACACAGAGAGAGGGCAAGGCAGGAACAGGGGTCTCACGGACTGAGATCACAGTGCACCCCTATAAATTCAACCCCTCTTCGAAGGGCTATTTCATGTGCCAGTGTGACTCCCTCCAAGAAGCAGCCCAGCTGATTACATGTGGCCACAAGAGGCAGCATGTCCTGTAGCCACTCTGTGGGTCATGACAGGCCTCCAATGAGCTCCCCATCATCAGTCTGGTCAGTGCAGTGGCTGGGAAAAAGAACAAGGTCTGGAGTGCAGGCTATTTGGGGTCAGGGAGGAGAGCATGTAGCAGGGGCTTGGTACTCACAGGCAGTGGCCTTGGCTCCTCTGCCTAGCTTTGAACTAGTCTCTGAAGCCTCAAGATGTGAGTTTTCCAATCTGCGGTGTTAGTTTTCTTTTAAAACGCTTAGAGATCTACTCATAAAAAAATGGAGATAAAAAATCAAGATTACAATCCTTTTGCTGGTGTGCTGCTCACACTCAAGGAGATGCTTGGCTCCAAGACACACCAATCTTTCCCCTCTGCTCCAGAGCCACAGCTCCAGATCATCCCCACCAACTGTTGCTCTCCTGCTGTGTCTGCCCTTGATGGAACAAACCAATTACCCATCATAGGACCTTCCACCTGCAAATCTTTGCAGCTTTTCTCCTCCTTTTTTGCCCCTACAAAACGACCAGTATTTGTTGAGGACACCCAAACACAATACAACCTCTCCTGTTTGCTTTCCTTTCTCCTCCTCCCCCTTTTCCTACCTTTTCCCAGCCCTGCCTTCCACTGGCACTGGATGTGGGATGCTTACCACAGACCACACAAAATGCGTCCTCCAACAGCTGGAGGAGAAGGAGAAACTAAGAAATCAGGAAGAAAAAGAAAAAACTTCCAATTACTGTCAATTTAGCCACTGAACACCGTGCCCCAGACACAAATCACTCTGGTAGAGTAGCACATAACATACCTGCACACACAGTACACAGGGGTGAGCATTCAGGGTGCTTGCTGAAAGTATTCTAACCCATTTGGTCACCAATGGCCGCAGCCCTTTTGGGGGGTTCCTGTAGCCCAGTCAAATTGTGGATGGTACTTTTCTCTGCTCCCATGAGCTGTGGTCCAAGCAGAGACAAAGGCACTTGCTGAGAGCTGAAGCCCAGCACATGAAATTGCCCGAGGGATGTCCATCCTCATGCCCAGACCCATGTTTGGGTTATCTGGCTGTTTTTTTTCCCAGGAGGGATATCAGCTACAGACAGCACTATGGGCTGCCTGTTGATGTGGTTGCAGAGGAAACAGCCCCTGCTGACAGACACCTTTCCCTCCACAGGAGTACATGCTTTGCTCCCAGCCAGAGGGAAAGTGGAGGCACCCAGCACACTGTCTCAGCGGAGGAGGCACTCAGCCAGCCACTAATGCTTCCCACTGTCTTGGAGCAAAGGGATGAATTAGATTTTATTAGCTCTTACGAAAAGCACATCACTCCTGCCCTTTCCTCCTTGCGCAACACTCATACACAGACTCAGCTGTGCAGCAAGTGAAGCAGAACCAACTTACCTCTGTGCCAGCAGTCCCAAACTCCTCTTGGGTCCTGTATAAATCTTATGAATTTTAAATCTTAGATAAGGTGGGAGTTAGGATAGAGCAATCCTCCTAAGGTGCTGCAGGGCCCTTGCTGCCCCAGAGTTCTTTAAAAGAGATTGATGCTTGGCTTTTTCATACGGATCTCTCAGGTGGCACCAACACATGGCCTGAAGAAGGGCATGGTCTTCATGCCAAAGCCAGAGCCACTGCACAGTCCCTACTGCAGACACCCAGACTTGGAGCTGTTATTTGGGGTTGGTCGGCAGTTTTCCACTGAGCACTCCTGCCACGCAATGTATTCCTCACCCCCAGCACCCAGCCGTAAGCAGGGCTGAGGGATGGTGCTGCTCCAGAGAAGTCTCTCTGAAGTCACTCTGGGGCTTGTTAGCAGAGTGATAAAGGGGATGAATGGCCTCAGAGAAATGCTCTATTTCCTGCTGTGGCATTCATTATCCTTTAGCCGGGCAATTTTTCACACCAGCCAGGAGCCCTGGGCTTGCTCGTTTATTGTCCTCTGGGGCTGTCTTCCACAAGAGGCCAAGCTCTGTACTTGCACTCATCGCCTCAGGCAGCTCAAGCGTGCCTGAAGAGCCCTCAGCATGGCAGTCCATGCAAGACGGCTGGGGGCAGAGCAGCTCTTCTCCTGGGTAGTCTCTGAGCTCAGCTCCTTCCTCCCACCTAACCAGCCTGCTTTCCTAAACTCACAATTTGGTGATCTGAGCCACAACTGCCCCCCCAGATCTGCAGGAAACAGAGCTGGGCACGTTTTCGCCTCATTTCCCAGGAAGTGCAAAGCATACGCACTCCTGCTGCATCAGTCTGTCCTCTGCCCACTCCCCGCAACTTCTGACACAGCAAACAGATTTCAACCTGATCTGACAGACACAGAGGTCTCAGAGACAGTCAGAGTCTATAAATTTCATGGGAACAGACTGTTAAAGAGAGAAGAGACATTATTAGCACCTTCCAAACTGTAGTGTATCATCCCTTATTAGACATCAGACAATCTGTGTGGGAGAAGGAGAGATGCTATAAATATCCAGTAAGGGGAGATGCTCCATTCAACACAAGCAGCTTACTAGACACCAGAGAATCCAAACTCAAGTGCCATATCCACAAGAGATGAGACTTCATGGATCCCACTGCACACAGTACTAACGGGTGAAGGTTTCAAGCCTGCTCAGCTGACAGGAGAGACAGCCAGCTAAGACGGCATGTTAGCTTTTTCAAAGGCTTTTCAAAGCCTCTGGAACCAGGATGTGTCCTTTTTCCTTACTGGTCTTCCAGTGTCCAAGCTGAGGTCCTGCTGCATTTCCAGCTTGAATTGCCATCCCAGACTTACGGATTAGTTCAGATGCTCCCTGAAATGGAAGAGACATGCCCAGGTCAAAGGGGAAGCACTGATGGGCTCCATCCCTGCAACCCTCTCATTGCCTCTCTGCCACACAGAGAGAGATTTCACCTTCCACCAAGAAGTTTCATCCACTTCCAGCAAGTGCCAGCACGTGGGAAGGCAGCCCCAAGTCAAAGCAGCCACCCAGGGAGCTCACAACAGTATCACTTAAACACCAAACTACCTATTAGCATGTTGACTGATTAGTGGCATTTGTTATTGTGTAAGAGGGTGCCTGTTCCTCTACACATAGGTCCTTTCTGCAGACCAGACCCACTCACCAACCCCAAGTACAAATCTGCAAGCCAGTGCCAGCACAGAGCTGGCAGGCAGCAGCATGGGTGCAAAGCTCAGCCTTCCCCTGGCAGGACAGAGGAAGTCCTAGCAACCTTTCCTCTTCCTTCTAAAGGATGAAGGGGACACAACAGTCTCTTGGTTCTCCTTTAAAGTCAGTTAAACAGTTTGTACATTACACAGTGTGATACAGCCTTGGGAAAGCACCACCAAGAAGCTATTTAGTAGACCTGCCAGCTGGCTTTCCTTGCTCACCTCCTTTCAGTAACCCAATTAGGAGACCCTCATTAGGCTGTTTCAGTGTGGAACCTGGAGCTGGTGTTGCTGGGACCTCACATCACTCATCACCACTCTCTGGCATAGGAAGAATTAGCAAGAAGCACATGGTACACGGCAAGGCAGCAAAGGTGACTGGAGCTTGCGGAGGCTGACCCCATTGCAAAGAAGCCCAACCTTGCATGCAATTTGGGGACAGAGTGGGGCAATCCCTGTGCTCATTTAGGATCTGTACTGCCCCAGTTGTCATCTGTTCATGGTGTCATTTCCAGCCTCACTCATTCCAGAGTCCTGGAAGTAATCGAGAAGTGGAAAACAGCCTTTTTCCCTCCAGCTCCTATGTGACACTGGCCTATCTGGCCAGATGCATTTTGGGGCTTCTCTGGATCACCTGGCAAAGGCCAAGTCCCAGGATGTGCTGTCAGCCTGGTGGATCACGTATCACTTGTCCTTGCAGGGCTTCAGCTCCACAAAAAGAGTATTTAAACATGCACTACAGCACATCCTTTATTCCAAAACAAGGATTTACACTTCAGGGCTGCTTGACTCCCTGTTCCACCCAACAAAAGGAGTGATGGGGATTGAATCCAGGCTTGCCTTCATTAAGAACAAAAAAAAAAGAGAAAATCCAGAAATCCAGTCACTCTATCTTAATTGTTCTGATCCAACCTTTCACAGTGTTGCATTGAGCTAAAGGGCTGCACCTGAAAGTATGCCAAGAGCGGCATGAAATGTTAATGTTGCAATTAAAACAATATGAATATTGCAGCACCGCTCTGCTGCTCCCCATCCACTGAACAATTCTCATTCAATGGAAGTCAAGTTACATTTGAGGAAATAATGAGGTCTGCTAATTAAGTCTGGCCTAGGAAGACAGCAGTCTTAAAAGGGGGAAAAAGAATAATCAGATCTCCCCCAAATATATACTTTCACTGCTTATTATCTGCAGAGGGAAATTATTAACACTGCACAATGCCAGGATCACAGGTCAGCACCCATTGTCTTATTGCACACATCTAGAGGAAATTATCTTTTTAATGATAAAACACGTAAGTCAGGACCTGCCTTGTCCCTAGGAGCTGAGTGGGGAATGCCAGGCTGACACCTTCTATACTCTGAATGCAGAAAGCAGGTACCTGACAGTGAATGCCAAATCCAGGCTGGGCTAGTGAGCGGCAGGCAGGGGCTCCAAGGAGCTGAAGTCTGCAGATTGCATTCAGCTGACAAGACAAATCCCACCTTGTACACAGGGAAGATTTTTCCTCCCCAGCCACTGAGACAACTGACTGACACTGACACTAACTTGAGCTCGTGGAAGCCATATGGAAAGAGACTGATGGGTCAGTCCTAGGGGGGCAAAGACTGGTCAGGATCATCTCATGTTTTAATTCTAACAAGAGGCAACAGGGGAAGACCTCCTTTCCTGCCCCTCGCATCCACCAGTTGCTACCCCAAGCCACTGCAGTAACACTGCATCCACCAGTTGCTGTCCCAAGTGCATGTTGCAGTAACATGAGGACACAGCAACAGACCAGAAACCAGAAACATCAAGTCCAGGGGTCCCAAAGGAAATCTGTATCAATGCATCACACCCACAGCTTCTCCACCTTCTTGTCTTTATCATCTTCCCAAATTTCTTTATCCATGACTGTTGCTGGGACTGCCATTGTGATTCCCCAGTCCACGTAACTGCAGAGGGAATTTAAGGCAGGGAGAGTGTGGCAGCATGCATATTTCTCGGGAAGAGCAGACGGATGAGAACAGCCCCACCATAACTTCCTGCTGATTCATCTGCCTTTTCTCTTTGAGTTTCAGGAGCATACAAGACCTACTCATCCTACAGGCTTGAACTTTGTCATTAGACCCAATCTGAAAAACCAGCACGGAGTTGTCTAGGGACTACAGAGCAGCTTGTTGTGTAAAGAGCAGGCTACGTTAGTCCAAACCTCTCCTGCTGCTGGAGAAACACCCTTCCCAGTTCCCCAGAAGAAAATTCATCCACTGGAGGTGTGAAACAAGGCACCAGAGTTGTGGTTCATTCCTTCACCACTGCTGACACTCTGAACCAGATAAGATCCTTGGAAACACAAAGATCCAGATGAGGGGAACTCAAACCATCAGGAAAGGAAACACTTAATTTGAAAGAGGAGAAAAATACAAATGAAAAGATCAGAAAGGACCTTCTAGGTCCTAGATTGTCCTAAGGGACTCAGATACCATTTATAACTATCTGTGGCCTCCTGGAGATGGAAGAGAAATAAACTTACTTGCTAAGCAAGGTCCGACCAGGAGGATGCCTTCACCCTGACCACAGCAACAGCAGCAGCTCACTGTTTTCTGGATGAATAGGTGGTCTCCTCCATCCAGCCTGTTTCTCACTGTATTTCAAGATGAACCAGCGCTTGCTGCTACCAAGTGTCTGTTCTGCAATAAAGAGCAATAAACATGCCAGAGTAATTAATGTCTTAACAACTTATTACAATCCTCAGATAATTAATCACAAAAGCTAAACATGCTGTCTCACCCTCCTAATGTGTTAATGCTCTAATTATTATGCCTCAATTAAGGGAAAGTCAGTGCTCCTTGCTTAGAAGTGCATGTTTAATAAGGGTGCTTGAATGTAGGCAAGTTGAAGTGGGAAGGGAGGGGGTGATGGGGGTTAAGGAAGAGGACACCATTTTTAATGAGGTTTCACGGGTGGCTCGAGGCAAAGAATTGACAGCCTATATCTGGGATCTCACACACGACTGCATGGGGAACTGGGGGCCATCTGCAGTGGCTCTGTACTCCACTTCCCACCGGGCTATTTATAGAAGAAGCAGTATGTGGGACAGACAAGACAGGGACTGGAGATGAGCAGTTACACTGTGGATCTGGACAGTGTTAGACAGCAGAGCTTGCAGCTCGCAGAGCAGCCAGCAACAGGAACTGGTGGTCTCCACTATCCAGCCCACTTATTGCCTTATTTCTAGACACATAGGCACTTGCCACCACTCCTGTCACATGTAAAGTCTCTCCAGCACAGTCCTCTACCCTTGACGTACCTTGCCTCCAAACAAGCTAGCTCTGGGTCATCCCTTGGAGATGATAAAAATAGTCCCTGAAACCCAGGATTACTAAGGGATGTGACAGAGCAACTCATCTCATTTCAGCCATTGCCTGGTGGTTTTCCTTTCATTCCTTTGTTGCATGAGGGAACAGAAAGATGTGTCTTAAAGAACTCACCATTAAAACAGCCTTGGTTTATAAGTAGGGAAACAGAAAGCCAAGGGAAGGCAGTCTGCAGGGGACTTTGGTGGTTGCTGCCACGGAATCTGCTTTTCTGGTGCCTGGCTCTGAACCTCAGAAAGAGGTTCTTGGTGGAGAGGAGCCTGAGCAGAGTTTAACAGAGAATGTAGGACCTGGACCCCTCATTCTGCGAGAGCAAGAGGTCCCCACTGCACTCAAGACACAGCTCTTCATGCATATGATCCTCATTCTTAAGAAAACTTTCAGTACAAAATACAGTCAAAGCAAACATGGCATCACCTCTATTACACCCTGCAGAAGTGGTGTCCTTAAGAGAGCAAAGCACTCAAGATACAGGACTCAGAGAGAGGTGGCACAGATCTGCAATGAAGCAATCATGGGAAGCTAGGACCACAAGGGCCAGACTCCAGATCTTGGTACCATACAAGATCCGCAACAGAAGAATGGCTGGAGCCCAAGTCTCCCAAACAAAGCCTATCAAAATTTTATTTTTCAAATAAAAAGCTTTTGAAACAACTCTCTCACTCAGGTGGGTCTTCAAACATAAGAAAGCTCTCCCTGAACCAGCCTGGTTTCTGTTCCATCCAGGCTTTTCCGAATTTCTCAGACAAATGAATCACCAGAAGCATTTCCAGCCTAGGTTTGACTGGAAAATGATTTTATTTCCTCAAAAAATAACACACTATGTAGGTTTGGATGGTTTCTCTGAGGAATAAGGGAGAGGGAATATGAAACAAAACAAAACAACCTGGAGGGGACATGAATTTTAAAAGCCATGAAGAGTTTTCATTTTCAAATAATCAAAATGAAAAAATATTTCACCTACTCATTTCCACAAAAATAATTCTGTCACCCTGATTCCTTGGTGATGTCTCATGAAAAACAACAGCAAGCTCTCCACCTCTGCCCACTTCACCTCTGAGACCACAACCTGCTGGAAGTTTGGCTGGAGAAAAGGGGCTGATGTCTCCCCACAGAAGCAGCCTGTGAATTCCTCCAGGGATGAGAGCTCCAAAGGACTTGTGTGCTGGCCCTCTCTGCATGCTGCTTTCCACTCCAGCATCAGTCTTGATCTGCCCAGACTTTCCTTCACCTCTTTGATGAGGATGACTTTAGACATCCAACTGTAGTTCCCCACACTCAGCTGGAGGCACTGCAGCACTTTATCTCAGCAGCTTCAATTCACTCTGCTATTTGCTGCATGAAGACTCCACCAGAACCCAACCCATCGTGCAAAACCAGACCATCCACAACAGAGCCATCAAAATCATTGAAATCTGAGCAAACACCACTTCACTAGGGACATACAAGGTATATGATGCCTCCTGAGGAACCGAAGGATCTTTCTGCTGCTATCTGCACTGACTGATGGACTGGGGAATTTTTCCATGACTGCTGGCATCTATATTGTTCATCTATGCCGAAACAGCTGTGCTCAGAGATGAGACTGTTGCCTTCTTTCTTTTCAAACATACTAACCAAGCCTCTCAGGCATTGTAAGAAAGCAGCTAACTGGTTTTGTATCTCACCACTCACCACTGGCCACTAAAGTGCTCACTTGAACACACAGGCAACTGAAGACAATTAGTTCTGGGGATAGAAATTTTTGCTTGGTTGTAACAGATTTGACCTATTGCAAAGCATCAAGTCTGGCGCCAGGCGTTTTGGAGAAGTTGTCTGGCTTATGTTAGTATTGTGTGGGGTTGGAAAAAAGAGCGCAGTAACACACAGCTCCTATGCCAGGGTGTTTTCCCAGGATGCTCTGGGTCCTGTTTAGCCTGTACCCACAACCAGTAAGAGAAAAGGCATCAAATCTGAGCCTTCTTCCCAGTACAGTGGACATAAGTTCACAGTAATCCTCACTGTGCCCAGGCTGAGCATGCTCCCATTCACACTGGAGAAGATGAAATGGAGAGGGGAAACACCATTCATCATGCCGCTTTGTACCTTCCCCAGATGAACTTGGGATCAGCTTCTTGGAGATCTGCTCCCAGTCATGCTCACACAAAACACTTGCACCCAGCAAGCACATGTGAGCGTGTTCCCAGCGCCCTACAGCAGGGCTTGGATTCTGAAGGCAACCTCCGGAGAAGAGCATATAACCATCACATAAATAGATACAAGATGTAATGACCATCAGATAAAACACCATCACTGCTTCTCAGAAACACAGTGGGCCCCGAGTGGGTTAAAGTAAAGTACTGGGCCATGAACAAAGGTGGTGCCACTGGAACCCAGATGCCCCCAAACCAACCCTCACAGACTTTCTGAGCTCATCTTACCCCATCCCTCTGCTTCCTTTAAGACAGCATGCAGCATGACAGCTGGGAAACCCACTCTGGTCCAAATTTTGTTACAACCCTACTGTTTTTTATCCTTGTTTACTAGCATTAATTTTAATGGCTTTCCCTACATTAACTTTGTCCTGAACCAGTTGGAGAAAGGTACCTGCTCACTTGCCTTCTGGAGAACAGCCTGGGTAATTTTCCCTTGCCATATAACAGTCTGTCTGGGATCCTCAGGAACTACAGCCAAACTGTGTACTTTGTTGAGGGCAATAAACTTCCCAAGGCTGGAGAAGGAGGATTTACACATCCCTGAATACACTACCTGTTCTTTATTAAGTTTTGGCTTGTGCTGGTCCAGCAGGTGGACATTTTTTCCTCCTGCTCAGCACTGAAGTACCAAGCCTGCACCAAGGAAATGTAATGCTTCCAGGCAAAGTGGCAACCTCCCCAAGTCTGGGAAGCTTTGGGCTGGCTTCATCACCGAGTCTCATTTTCCCTGGAATCATTAAACATGCTTGTGAAATATGCCCTGAAAGAGATGATGGTGCTGGAATACACATGGAGAATGTTTCAGAGGTGGGGAGCAGGAAGAGAGGACACCTTGCCCTCTGCACCAGCCCTCTGCAATGCGATGCCCAACTCTGCCCACACTGGCAGAGCTGGCCATTGCCAAACAGGCAGCGCTCCTCTTTGTACTGTCTCATTGTCCTACACACACAGCAGGAAGCAGAAGTGAGGATGATGCAATGCTTGAGATTTCTCCCTCCTGTTCACTCTCCCTCTTCTCACCTCTGGCTCCTTCCAGCCACTATCCTGACTTCCTGAAGGAGACATCACAACTCAATGCAGGCTGGGCTCTGCTGGAGAGAAAAAGATTGCCCTTTCCTTTGCCCACCAGGTGCCATGAGATGTGGTCCCTCCATTCTCCAGCTCACAGAAAGGTGTGACAGGTCAGGCCATGGGAAGGGAGAGAAACACTCAAGACTCTTCCAGCACCATTCTTTCCCTGTTAAAAAAAGAAAAAACCAACCAACCAAACAAACAAAAACCACAGGACAACCACTCTTTCCACCAAAGAAATGCAAAGGTTCAATTCAGGCATGTTTCCAAAGTTTTTTGTCTGACAGCATAAAAAGGGATATGGTTAGACCAAGGGAAGCTATTTGATGTATCACATGATACCTATACTTTAAAAGTACAGATGTTCCCTCCATGCTCCAAGGGGCAATTCAGAAGACAGAGGACTCAAAAAATGCCACTATATCCAACCACAAGCACCTGGGCTGCTGTAGAGAGTGTTGCCATGGAAAGATGAGGGAGGCAGCAGCGAGATGGCTGGAGTATTCCTACCAATTAACATGAAGAATTTTGACTGCTTTGCTGTATTTTCTGCAAGAGCCTAGCAACCACCTCAAAAGCGTTATTCACACATCTGAAAAGCGTTTAGCAGGGTTACATGCCTAGTAAGCTATGCTAACAGGGAGGGACAGCTCTCCAGACAAGGCCTCCTCAGCACAGGCACACCGTATGTATGCAGCTTGGGCACCTCAACTCCTGCTCCAGGAGGCTCACGCATTAGGTGTGGGCAGTCATCGGATCACACAGGACACCAGAGCGAGATCACAGGGCAAGGAACAGAGACAGAGCCACAGCTGCAGGGAGGAGAAGACCAGAATAAGGAACTAGATGTCTTCCCTTCATGGGACGAAATAGGGCAGCTTGTCATTGCTCAATTCTCAGTCCTGGTTCAAGAATCCCTGTCAGTCTGCAGCATGGGTTCATTTCAAATGTACTGTTTCCACCAGGGCTCCTTCTGCTCTGCCCTAATAAAACAGGAGAAACAAGACCCCCGAGATACCTTACAACGTCTCTACTAGACACTAAAGAGTGAGTGACTCAAAGGCCACAGCATCCTACCTACTTCCACCTGAAGTAAAGGCAGATGTATCAATGTAGCCTCTTCCAAAAAGGGGCACTACAGACTGACAAAAGCCAGCTTTTACCCATTCATTAAGTTCTTGGCATTAACTGATTTCTCCCCAATCAAGCCATAAAACCCAAAGCTGCATGCAAGCAGCATCCTAAAATATCCTTGTAAATCTCAGCCACCACGTTCATTAATTACAAACCAGTGATAGTTCAGACCATTAGTTCTGGATGGTAACTTCATTTATTCCCACATTAATGCTCAGTGTCAGTGGTTATCTCATTACCACTCTATTACTTACCTACTTAATCCATCATTGCAATCCAGGCCAGAAGGGAGGAGCCGAGTTTGCCTTGTGTCTGTAGCAAGATAATGCATCAAGTGTAGAGTACCTAGGAATCACAAACAAAACACTTTACTAATCTGCAGCTGAGGTTATATCTATTAAGAGGAGGAAATTACAGAGATAAGTGTTGTTAGCTGCACAAACACATTCCAACATTGAAAAATTGTTGATATTGAGGATTAAGTTTCTTATTAAATCAGAACCAAAAGCTTTGGCAAGAACGGAAAGGCACACTAGCAACCATTAAAAAATAAATAAATCAAAGACCTTAACTCTCTACTTTCCTCCTCGACAAACTCTGCTTCCTCCAAACCCCAGGCTGGATTCAGTTTCTGGCTTTTCAGTTTCTAGCTTTATTTCTGCTAAATAGTTTGAAAAGGCAGGCCTAAGTATGGGCACTGTGACCTTGCTACCTCCTGAATGCTCCAGAAAACATAAAGGCAGCATTGCAGCTAACACTAGCCTCAAGCGCTAGTGAAAATACACCTAAAGCCATGAAAAGATACAATAGTTATTGGCATTTCAGCATGCACCCAGCTGGAGTTCCTCTTGTTTGGTGAGCAAGCGCTTCAGAAAGTGTGCTTTATTGCACCTGCCACACTCTTGCCTGTTTCAGGACTTACTCTGCTCACTGACTCAGCCCCATGGGTCTGATCAGGATGCTTCAGCAAGACCAGCAGCTTTTCCCTGTCTCATTCCCTGCTCCTTCCCCCCCCCCAGATAGTCTTGCTGGAGATAGTATTTCAATCTTTCCTGACTCCACTGAGGAAAAGGGAAGCCCTTTTTAGGTTAACAGGCGTGAAACCCAGATATGAACTGGAGAAAGGGTTCAAATGGACATTTCCCTTTCAAGTAAGGCAGGCTCTCTTAAGAGCAAGCAAAGTACCTCTGCTCTGCCCAGACTTATAGGAGTGGTGACTGGTTTTTACTGCTTCTAAGGACATGATATAGAATGACTGGAACCCTCTAATGTGAAAGAAGCTGATGCCACAACAGATAGGTAGAGAAAGAAGACACTGCCCCAAGATGATGTTGGGAGCAAAATATCAATATTTTTCTCTGCAATCAATAAACCCCCAGCTAACATGCCTGTGCTCACAAAAGTGGGCTCTAAATGGTGCTGTGCCAGAACAACTGAGAAGGCAAGCTTGCAAGATGCCACAATCAGATGTAATTAAAATACCTTTGCTGTCCTGCTCTCTATCCCCTCAGCAATGAAATCCATTACGGAGTGTGGAAAGAAAATTATTTAAAATGTCCCTGAAGCTAAGTTGTTGACACTAGTGTAGACAGATGGATTTTGATACACTCTTGATTAAACAGCTTTCTGCAGAAGGCAGAGGGCAGAAAAGGAACTGGGTGATGAGCCAGAGGACCAGCGTAGAAATAGTGGCTATTGCCCAGGGAAAGCAA